CACCTATCTCAGTCAGGACTGATCTCTGGATTGTAGTTAGTTTCCAACCTTGTTTTGATATAGAAGTTGTATACATCAACAGACCGCGAACTTGAACCGCGGCTTGCCGTTGGCGGCAATTGCACTGCATCATGGGATTTGTAGTGTGTGTTATTGGGGCGTCATATCACAGGGCCATTAAAAACAGATATATAAAACGATTTCGCGGGCCGGATATAATTGTATGGCGGGCCGGATGTGGCCCGCGGGCCTTGAGTTTGACACATGTGTTCTATACCAACAACAACAACAACAACAACAAATACTTTCATTGATGATAATCTAAATTTACAGATACACGAGGAATGCTTGTTTGAGAACTTATTAGCTGTATGATGATGACAATTTGTGTTTTAACAAGTACGTTTTTTAATGTCAACAGTTACTGTCAATAACTGTTGTTTGACCCTCAAATTCCCACAAGTGTGAAAGTCTATTTATGAGGGCTCTAAATCCTCCAGCTTCAGCTCTCATGCCCGCCAGTGCCAGATGAGGGGCCTTCCTCCGTAGGACAGGCTCCTCCAGACCCTCTGACAGAGGACAGCACTTGCTGCGATCAGAGGCAGACTAAGGGGAAGCTGGGTGGGGGAGTAAACAGGGCACTGGCCTGGAACTCAAGGCCAGGGTTCTGCACCCGGCACTGCCACTGGGCATAGATGCTGGAACAGTTTGCTTAGTGGGGGTACTGACAGCTATTAAACAAAACTGTAAACCCTGTAAATCAAACCAGGGGTTGCTGCTGCACCTCCTCACCCCTAATTCCAGCATCTAGGCCACTGGGTTGCTAAGTGACTTTGGCTAAGCCACGTCCCCCTCTCTGCCTCGGTTTCCCCAGCTGCGAGATGATGGGGGTGTGGCTGCTCCTTTATGAGAGCCTGGCTAGGGGCAGGACCAAGGGCGGGACTGGCCCGGCCCGGGGCAGCCCTCCCCACGGAACGAGACAGACCGCACGCGCTCCCGAGCCACGGGCAGGCTGCGCATGCTCATTGGAGAGCACGCGGGCAAGCCTCGCCCCCGCCCATCTCCATGGTGACGCGGACGCGCTTTACGGCGGGACACGCAGGAGCGGCTCGGCGTCGGGCCCATGGAGGAGCTGGGCTGGAGCACGGACGCCGGCGGGGCGGTGTATCGCTCCCGGGACCCCGTGCGGAACCTGCGCATCCGGTCAGGGCCTGGCCGGGTTCCCCGGGGCGGGGGGGCCTGGCCGGGTTCCCCGGGGCGGGGGGGCCTGTCCTCAGCCGCGCCGAGGAGTGGGGGGTGTTGGTGGCCCGGCCCGGCCCCCGTACAGCGGGTTGGTGTCCCTGAGGTGGGGCTCAAGTAGGCGGCCCCCGCCCGCCGCCGGCAGTCCTGGGCCAGGCGGCCCTTGCCCACCCCCGGGCAGCGCCCTGGGCTCTTCTCCACTGGGGCGGGCGGCCCCTCTCGCCCTGCGCGCCCCGCTCCCCGCCAGCAGCAGACAGGAGCTGCCCCTTCCGCTCCCGTGGCCAGCCGGGTGACTCCTGCCTCCTCCTCTCCCCTGCCAGGGTTCACATCCAGCGGGTCACTTCCACCAGCCTCCTCCTGCAGCAGCTCCAGCAGCCCGCCGGCCAGCAGGGGAAGGAGCTCATCAGCTTGGCCACCTTCAGTTCCCACCCAGCAGCAAGTAGGTGGCTCGTGGCCAATGTCTGCTCTGAGGGGGACCCCCTCCCCCCCACGTGCAAAGCCTCACAATGGCCATCTCTGGTTTCTGCCACTGGGTAGGAGACCTGTGCAGGAGCCTTGGGAGTCAGAGGCTAAAGATGGGGCTGCATCCCTGACCACCTTGGCTAATAGCCATTGATAGATAAATTCATGGAGGATAAGTCTAATTCTTTTTTGAACTCCATTATAATTTTGGCATTCACAACATCCCTGGGCAACAAGTTCCACACACTGAGTGTGTGTTATGTGTTTATTTTAAACCTGCTGCCTATTAGGTGACCCCTGGTTCTTGTGGTATGTTACGGAGTAAATAACACTTCCTTATTCATTTTCACCACACCATTTTATAGACCTCTGTCATATTCCCCCTTAGTCAATTCTTTTCCAAGCTGAAAAATCCTAGTCTTTTAAATCTCTTGTCCTATGGAAGCTGTTCCATACCCCTAGTCATTTTTGTTGCCTGTCTCTATACCTTTTCCATTTCTAATATATCTTTTTGAGATGGGGCAACCAGAACTGCACACAGTATTCAAGATGTGGGCTTACCATGAATTTATATAGGGGCATGATGATCTTTTCTGTCTTATCCCTTTCTTAATGGTTCCTAACATTGTTAGCTTTTTTTTTTATTTAGTGCTCATTGAGTGGATGTGAAGTGAAACCCCCTGGCTGTTTTTACTTCTCAACCCAGAGACCTGTAGAAAGCAAAGACCATAAAGGAGGAAAAGTAAATTCCCTTGGAATAACTAAGTTGAGGGTTCCTAAACACTTCAGTAGCATGAACCATGGGAACACTTTCCCTATCCACTGTCAACCAGCTTTCTACCCACCCCCATCTGCTATCTCTTAACATCCCTGTTGCAGCTACAGCAGTGGCTTACCTGAAAAAATGATATTAGGACAGAACTTGTATTTGTAGCTTCTTTAATGCATCTGGCAAAGAGAAGGAGCCAGTCCAGTAAGTACTTAGTTCTCAGTGGCCTATAGCTTGAGAACTGATGACCTAAGCTAGTGTTTGTAACACAGCTACCCTGTTTCCCCGAAAATAAGACAGTGTCTTATATTAATTTTTGCTCCCAAAGATGCGCTAGGTCTTATTTTCAGGGGATGTCTTATTTTTCAATGAAGAAGAATACGGTACACATTTTTTTGCCTTATTATCGGGGAGGTCTTATTATCGGGGGGATGCCTTATATTACAACGAGAGGCAAAACTGTAAGTAGGCCTTATTTTCGGAGGATGTCTTATTTTCGGGGAAACAGGGTAAGGAAAGACTCTGACCTGACTGTGTCATTTCTACTCTCTCCTTTCAAATCTAGTCCACTCATTCATTCCCCAATCCTGGGAGGGGCTGGTGGTATAATATTTGTGCCCCCTACTGCTGCCATTGATGTTAATGGCTGCACCATCCCTCACAAAGGCCTGCAGGAAGCTGAGTGTCAAGCTTCTTGTTCATTAGGTGCAGGTGACATGGGAATCCCACATCTAGTAGTGCAGCCATTAACATCAATTCCAGGTCCTGCTGTTGAAACAGAAGAGAGGATGCTGGGAGGCCTGTTGTGCTGCACAGTGCTCTTTGCTGGGGGGCGGGGAAGAGGCACAGGTGTGAGGAAGTGACCAGCACCCTCGTGTCTTTCAGGTGGCTATTGTCCTGATGATGAGGAGGAGGCAGTAATTGGTTGGCAAGAAAAACTCTTCAGCCAGGTGAGTAAGTGGAAGACTGCCTTGAGTGGCAGATAATACTCAAAATTTTACAGCTGTGTAGTATAGTACCCCATTGGCACTAGTGCAAGGGGCCCTGGCTTCATCTCCAGGTCCCAAAGAGGAATGGAGGGCCTGTTCCAGTTAGATATGGCACTTGCTGCTGCAATTCAAGAGGGTTCTGTGTTCTCTAACCTTTCATGTGGCCACTGCAATCTCAAAACACGAAGAGAAAATGGAGCATGTTTCTGATCTAGAATTATCCCAGCTGGTTCCCTGTGCCATCTTGTCCATGTCTGTAAAGGATGAGTGGAGGGTACACGTAAAAGCTGTGGAAGTGACTCTGAACCAAGAGAGAGAAACAGCATTATGGTTACTGTCTGTCCAGGATCCAGCTCTGGGAATAGCAGTCTATGGCCCCATAGTTACAACCACAGCAATCTTAAATCCTAAGCCTACAAACAAACAGTTATGCATGTGAGTAGCTTTACACACTTGAGTGGTCCACTGGTAGATATATATATATATATATATATATATATAAGTATTTGCAGGTTTAGGGCTTAAGTCTTGCTTAAAAAAAAACCAAAACCAAAAAATCGACATACGAATTGCTCCAATATCACATTAAAAGCATCAAACATGATCACTCTGGCACATGGGGGAGGGATAGCTCAGTGGTTTGAGCATTGGCCTGCTAAACCCAGGGTTGTGAGTTCAAGCCTTGAGGGGGCCACTTAGGGATCTGGGGCAAAAATCTGTCTGGGGATTGGTCCTGCTTTGAGTAGGGGGTTGGACTAGGTGACCTCCTGATGTCTCTTCCAACCCTGATATTCTATGTATTATTTACAGAGCAATTTAGATTTTTTTTTTGAAGAAGCAAAACAGTAAAAATGCAGTTTGATTTCCATGAAAACGTGTCAATGTGTACAGAAAATCTTTAAAAAGAAGAACAGGAGGACTTGTGGCACCTTAGAGACTAACAAATTTATTAGAGCATAAGCTTTCGTGGACTATAGCCCACTTCTTCGGATGCATATAGAATGGAACATATATTGAGGAGATATATATACACACATACAGAGAGCATAAACAGGTGGGAGTTGTCTTACCACCTCTGAGAGGCCAATTAATTAAGAGAAAAAAACTTTTGAAGTGATAATCAAGCACTGTGCTGGGCTAGCTTGATTATC